CCAAGGAGAAATCAATGGCAATACAATTACATCAGGGGACTTCAACACCCCATTGACACCACTGGATAGATACTCTAGACAAAATATTAGCAAGGAAACAGAGATTCTAAATGAAGCACTAGACAAAATGGATTTAATAGATATCTACAGAAAATTACACCCCAAAACTACAGAATTCACATTTTCTCAAGTGCACATGGGACATTCTCAAAGATAGACCACATGATAGGACACAAACTAAATCTCTACAATTTCAAGAAGATTGAAATCATATCAAGCATCTTCTCAGATCACAATAGCATGAAACTAGAAATCAAAACATGCAACAAAAACACACAAAGACATTTGAACACATGGAGGCTAAATAGCATGTTATTAAACAATAAATGGATTACCATGGAGATCAAGGAAGAAATTAAAAACTTCCTGGAAACCAATGAAAATAAACACACAACAACACAAAATCTTAGGGATGCAGCAAAAGCAGTTCTGAGAGGGAAGTTCATAGCACTACAGGCCTACCTCAAGAAACAAGAAAAATTTCTAATTGACTGTCTAACCTCACAACTTAAAGAATTAGAAAGCAAACAAAAAGAAAACCCCAGAGCAAGTAGAAGAAAGGAAATAGTATGGATTAGAGCAGAAATAAATGACATAGAGACCCCCCCCAAAAAAAATCAATTCAAGGGATCAAGGAAACAAAGAGCTGGTTCTTTGAAAAGATAAACAAGATAGATGAACCCTTTAGCTAGACTCACCGAGAAACAAAGAGAGGGAACCCAAATACACACAATCAGAAATGAAAGAGGAGAAGGAACAACTGACACCACAGAAATACAAAGGATAGTTAACAATACTATGAACAAATATATGGCAACAAATTCGACAATCTAAATGAAATGGACAAATTTCTAGAAACACAGTCTCCAAAACTGAACTGGGAAGAGATAGAAAACTTGAACAGAACAATAATAATTAAGGTAATTGAAGATGTAATCAAGACTCTCCCAGCCAACAAAAGCCCAGGCCCGGATGGCTTCATGCGGCAGTTTTACTGAACATTCAAAGAAGAGCTAACAACCATACTCCTCAAACTATTTCAAAAAATTCAAGAAGGAAGACTTCCAAACTCGTTTTATGAGGCCAGCATAATTATAATTTCAAAACCAGAAAAAGATACTTTTACAAAGAAAGAAAACTACAGGCCAATATCCCTGATGAACATAGATGCCAAAATTCTGAAAAAAATACTAGCACATTGGATCCAGCAATACATCAAAAAAACTTATTCACCATGGCCAAGTGGGATTCATCCCAGGAATGCAAGGCTGGTACGATATTTGCAAATCAATAAATGTGACACAGCACATAAACAAAATGAAAGATAAAAACCACGTGATCATATCTATAGACGCTGAAAAAGCATTTGACAAAATCCAGCACCCATTTCTGATAAAAACACTCAGCAATGTGGGACTAGAGGGGTCATATCAACATAATAAAGGCCATATATGAAAGACCTACAGCCAACATAATACTCAATGGGCAAAAACTAAAAGCATTTTCCTTAAAAACAGAAACAAGACAGGGATGCCCACTTTCACCACTTTTATTTAACATAGAATTGGAAGTCTTAGCCATAGCAATCAGACAGGAAGAAAAAATAAAAGGGATCCAAATTGAAAAGGAGAAAGTGAAACTGTCATTATTTGCAGATGACATGATATTATACATAGAAAACCATCAAGACTCCATCAAATGTTTTCAAGACTTAATAAATAAATTTGGGAAAGTAGCAGGATACAAAATTAAAGTCAAGAAATCAACAGCATTCTTATACACCAATGATGAACTCACAGAAAGAGAAACTAAAAACACAATCCCATTTACCATCGTGAAAAAATAATTAAAATACCTAGGAATCAACTTAACCAAGGAAATAAAGGACCTAATCACTGAAAACTGCAGGTCATTGGAAAAAAATATAGAGGAAGATATCAAAAAGTGGAAGCACATACCTTGTTCATGGATTGAAAGAATTAACATCATTAAAATGTCCATACTACCCAAAGCAATCTATAGATTCAATGCAATCCTCATCAAAGTACCAATGACATACTTCACAGAACTAGAACAAATACTTCAAAAGTTAATATGGAACTGAAAATGACCTTGAATAGCACAGCAATCTTGTAAAAAAGGATAAAGTAGGTGGTATCAAAATACTGGGTATCAGGTTATACTACAAAGCTACTGTAATCAAAACAGCCTGGTACTGGCACAAGAGCAGGCATATAGACCAGTGGAACAGCATAGAGAACCCAGAAATTGACCCAAGACATTATACTTAATTAGTATTTGACAAAGGTAGCAAGAGCATACATTGGAGTAAAGACAATCTCTTTAATAAATGGTATTGGAAAAATTGGACAGCTATATGCAAAAAAATGAAACTAGACCAACAACTTATGCCCTACACAAGAATAAACTTAAAATGAATAAAAGACTTAAATGTGATTCATGAATCCATATAAATCTTAGAAGAAAATGTAGGCAACAATATTTCAGACATCATTTGCAGCAGCATTTTCACTGATACATCACCGAAGGCAACAGAAAGAAAGGAAAAAATGAACTCATGGGAATACATCAAACTAAAAAGCTTGTGCAGAGCAAAAGAAAAAAAACAACCATCAAAATGGAAACCCACTGTATGGGAGAGCATAATTGCCAATGATACATCAGATAAGGGGTTAGTTTCCAATATATATAGAGTGCTCATACAGCTCAACAGAAGGAAGACAAAGAACCCAATTAACAAATGGGCAGAAGAACTAAATAGACACTTCTCCAAACAGGACATACAAATGGCCAAGTGACATAGGAAGAAATGCTCAACATCACTAATCATCAGAGAGATGCAAATTAAAACAACAATGAGGTATCACCTCACACCTGTCAGAATGGCCGCCATCAACAAGTCATCAAACAACAAGTGTTGGCGAGGATGTGGAGAAAAGGAGACTCTAGTACACTGCTGGTGGGAATGCAGACTGATGCCGCCACTGTGGAGAACACTATGGTGTTACCTCAAAAAATTAAAAATTTAATTGCCATTGGACTCAGTGATCCCACATCTCAGAATATACCCTAAGAAGCCTGAAACATCAATTAGAAAGAATATATCTACCCCCATGTTTGTAGCAGCATTATTTACAATAGTTAAGATTTGGAAACAAAGTGTCCATCAGTACGAATGGATAAAAAAGCAGTGGTACATATGCACAATGGAGTACTATGCAGCTGTAAGAAAGAAAAATCTCTTATTCTTTGAGACAACATGGAGGGACCTAGAGAGTATTTTTCTAAGTGAAACAAGCCAAGCAGAGAAAGACAAATATCACATAATCTTACTTATTTGTGGAATATAATGAATTTAACAGTCTGAGGAACAGAGTATACCTAGAGATGTGGAAGTGGGGTACAGACTGACATCGCTCAGAAGAAGGGGTGGGGGGAAGGAAGAGATAAACCACAGAATTTATATGCATGTATGCATAAACCGATGGACATGGACAACAAATCTGGGGACGGGGTGAGAGGGGTCAGGAGGAGGGTGTCAATGGGGAAAATGGAGAAACATCTGTAAGAAAAATGAATAAATAAATAAATAAATGGGCAGAGGAACTGAATACAGTCATCCCTCACCACTTTGCACTTCAACTTTTGTGGCTTTTTCAAATATATTCATTAAAAAGTTGATTGAGAGAGTGAAAATGATACAGCACGTGCTTGGTTGTCTGGGTGAATTATAAACCCTTGTATTAAAATTAAAATTACTGTACATATGGACTATAGGCCTATGTATTCGAGCACCCCCACAAATCCTTCAATGCCAGGTTCAACCGCTGGACCACTCCTCATGTGTGGGCATTAACTTTTTTCCAAAAAAGCGGGTGTGGTGAAACCAAGTCAATCAGAGTGTGCTGTTTACTGATTGGCTATCCTATCCTCTTTCTATTTTAGGCATTGATCAGCTCAGCCTCATGCAAGTTTGTTTCTGTCATACACACTTCTACATCACAATGCACCAGAAGCATCTTTGCTCTTATAAGTGTTTGCAATTTCTGAGAACTTTGTTCTAAACCCCACGATGGCTCCTAAATGTGCTACTTCTTCTAAGCCTTCTGACGATGCAACTAAGCACCAGAGGAAGATGCTTACCATCCAGGAGAAATTGAAACTCTTTGAATATGATCAAAGATGGCAAGAAAATCGTGGAGGTTGCCCGCCATTACGACTGAATGAGTCTACTGTTAGATCCATTCATAAAGATGAAAAGAACATCCATGCAATGGCTACTGTCTCTTTCAACAAGGAAGTGAAGTGCGTCGTGACAAGTAGTAATAAGTTCATAGTGAAAACAGTCTGCCCTAGCCATTTGGATCAGTGACAGCCGCAAGAAAGATATTCTGTTGGATTCACTGGTCATCTGGGAGAAGGCGAGGCAGCTCTATCTGTGCTTTTAGGAGGATGAACCTCAACCAGGACCCTCTTCTGCAATGTTCATGGATTTCACAGCGAGCAAGGATTGGTTCAAGAAGTTCTGGAAGAGACATCATCTGAAGAGTGTCATTCCCCATGGAGAAGCTGCCTCTGCTGACCAGCCTGCAGCAGAGGACTACGTGAACAACACGTTCCAGAAGATCCTTGAGGAGGGCGAGTATTACCCAGAACAGGTGTTCAATATGGACAAAACAGGACTGTTCTGGAAAAGAATGCCTTCCCGGACATTCATTTTCAAGGATGAAGACAAGGTCTGTGGCTTCAAGGCGTATAAGGATCGCGTGACTATCGTTATGTGTGGAAATGCTGAGGGATTTTTGCTGAAGCCTGCCATTATCTACTAGGCCAAGAAGCCTAGGGCCCTAAAGAATAAGAACAAGAACCTGCTGCCAGTGCATTGGATGCACAACAAGGGCTGGATCACAAAGCAGCTGTCATTGGACTGGTTCCACGAGTGCTTCATCCCCTAAGTCAAGTAACTTGTAGAGAAGGGACTTGAGTTTAATGTCCTTCTCCTCATGGACAATGCTGTAGTTCATGTGCAAGACATATCCTGCAACAGTATGCAAATCGACTTCCTTCTTCCCAATACCACTTCGCTGATCCAGCCCATGGATCAAGGCATAATTCACACGTTCAAGGCCCTCTACATGCAAAACACTCTGCAGCACCTCGTCAAAGGCATGTACCTTGAGGAGAACTTGCTGAAAGAGTACTGGCGGCAGTATACCATTGCGACCTGTCTGAAGAACATCCAGGCCGCATTGAAGGACATAAAGACGGAGACAGTGAAGGCCAGCTGGAAGATTTGTGGCCTGAAATTGCCCACGAATACAGAGGATTCATCCCAGAGGATATAAGCAACTCAGCAGTGGGTAAGGCAGTTAGGCTAGCCCGGATGCTTGGAGGAGAATGTTTCACGGATATGACCTGTGATGATGTGGATGAACTGGAGACATTTTCAGATCCCTTAACTGACGAGGATCTGGTGGAGATGACTAAGTCTGTGAATGAGGAGGAGGAAGAGCAGCCAGAGGTTCCTGAGGGTCAGGAGAGGAAGTTGGCCTTACACTTGAGTGCCTCCTGCAAGTCATGAGAACTATTAAGGTAGTACAGGACATGATTGGCGAATGGAACCCATAAATGATGTGTACATTGCAGTTCCGGAATGCACTTGGTAGAGCGATAGAACCCTACAAAAGCCTCCTCACGCATATGAAAAGACAGCACCAGTAACTGCCTATCATGATGTTCTTCAGACACGTGCCCAGACACCCACTGCCTACTCCTACTACACCTTTGGTGGAAGAAGACAATGCACCTGCTGAAGACACTGCACCACCTGAAGACTCTCCTACTGATGTCGTGCCTTCAGAGAAGCAGTAAACTTGCTCTTCTTTGCTGTGCAGTACATCTCTTCATCTTCATCGCTTCATCATCGAACAAGTTCCACTATTTTCATACATTAGTGGTTGTGTGTAAGAACTGTGTGTGTAATTAAATGTACAATAATAATATATTTGTAACATCTAATATGTCTTATTTTGTCTAATATATTAGATAATATGAGTGTAATGGTGATTAAAGGGTGTTATTTCATGTCTAGAGGGCTCTAAAAATGTTAAAAACATATTTAGAAGGTCATAAACAGGTTTTCTATGCTCTAACTGCGAAAATAATTTGATTTATAAATAAAGACTCCTACTCCGCGGAAATTCATTTATCGCGGTAGAGTCTGGAACTGATTAATCATGATAAACAAGGGCCGACTGTAGATAATTCTTCTTCACACACTTTTGATTTAGTTTTTCTCTCATCTTTTATAACACCTAATTTACTCACTTCTTTTCTAATCCCCACAGTTCAGAAGTAAACATTTCTTCAAGATTCTTTCACAGTCTAAACCAGTGGTTCTCAGTCTTGGCTATACATTAGAATCACCGTGGAAAGATTTAAATACTAATGGTACCTGGATCCCACTCTCAGAGGTTCCAATTTAGTTGTTCTGGTGTGTAGCCTGAGTACTGGGAGTTTTTATTTAGAGTTCTTCAGGGCCCAGCTGGTGTGGCTCAGTGGTTGAGCATTGACCAAGAGGTCGCTGGTTTGATTCCCAGTCGGGGCACATGCTCGGGTTGAGGGCTTGATCCCTGGTAGGAGGCAGCCAATTGATGTTGATGCTTCTCTCTCTCATCGATGTTTCTATCTCTCTCTCCCTCTCCCTTCATCTCTTTCTAAAAAATCAATAAAAAACATTTAAAAAAAAAGAGTTCCTCAGGTAATTCTAATACTCCACCAGGATTGAGAACTGTCTTAAACTGTAAATCACATTTCAGAGGAGACTATTATTTTCTTAGATATCCAAAATTGGCTCAAAGCTCCTATTTCATGGGAAGGCCCAAGCTGTCGTTAAGAGAACTGTGGATCCCGAGGGCTGACAGTCTCATGGTCTCTTCTGGTTCCAGGTTCCTAACCTCCTGAACACTTGGTATCACTTGAATCTTACTTCCTAAAGCAACTGGTTCTCTTGCCTCTGCTCTGCACAGGCCCATATGTAGAACTCAGCCTTCATGCTTTGCTATCTCTGAACCATAGACTGAAGACAATTTTATGGTGGTAGACATCACTGAAGGCTTGGGTTAAAGTAAGGGTTGGGAGTCAATGTAAGAGTTTTTAAAACAAAGAGACATGGGCAATTTCTACGTCGACTCTAAGTTCCATCAACAGACCCGAGTCTTTTCTTGCTGAGGAACTTCTCTTACACCTTAGTTAGCCTCATACAATTAAGTAAGTTCAATTTCTATCATTTTGGCATCTCTTAGCAGCAGTGTTCTCTTACCAGTGTCTTAAAATGGAATTTGGCCAGTATTTAGATTAATTTTTCCTTTGATATAAATTACATCTCCTCTTGTTTCTTCCCTTATTCCTACCCTTCTACATCCAATTCTGATTTTAAATAACATTTTCTTCCATCCTACCACACTCGGTCATCAGTTACTGTGGTCGGCAGAGTCCTAAAGATGTCCCCTCAAGTTTCCTGTCTTTTGATTATTCAATCAGACACTTATGTCGTAAGTACTACTGTGAAGGAACTTTGTAGATGTAATTAAAGGTATGAATGTTAAAATAGGGAGATTATACTAGATTATACACACAAATCCAATCTAATTACATGAGCTCTGAAAAGCAGAGGTCTATAGAATAGAAAGTCTTACTAAAGACCCAGGAATATGAAGGATCTTGATGTGTAATGAAAACATTTCAATGATGTACTGGACCTGTAGCTCAGGTAGCTTAGTAAATGTATAATTTGCTCACTCCCTATGGCCCAATCTTATAGTGAAAATAGAATATTAAAAAGAGGGGAAAGATCCAATTTCAAAAACAAGATAACCATCTCTAGGAATTGAGAAATTAATAGAAACACAGTACAGTGGATAGAGCTGAATCTCCAGATTATTGGTCTCTAACTCATTGTGCCTGGGATTTGAGATCTTTCCGGGTAAAGAGTGGGGGAGGGAGAGTCAGACAACAGAGGTTAAGGGGGACTGCCTCTGTTGTGAAAGGAAGCTTAGAAATAAAAACATACGGTCTACCTGACCTTTCCTTTGGGCTTTGAGAAAGCTCTGCACTTAGGACAACAGAAAGAAATACAGCTATGGGACCTGGAACTGTGTCAAGGTACCCCTTGTTCTATGACCAAATCTGCAAAGTCTACAATTTCTCTATTAATGAGACCCCAAATCACTATGATATACTTCTGGCCTGAGGTAACTTTAAAGTCAGTAGACTGGCAGGGATATGGGAGAGGGTGTTGAAAAATGAAAAGAGAAAAAGCCTCTTACGTACAATAGATTTGTAATTTGCTCATTCTTGCCACCCCCCACCCCAATAGACTTGGTGAAATCTAATGCTGGAACAGACAAAATCAATGGTCAAAGGAAGAATTTACTGCAGCTAAAAATGATTTAAAATAACTATGCTTAGGATGTTCAGAGATAAGTGAGGCATGGTTTCCATTTTTAAAAAGCAGCAAATTAGTAATCAACATCAAACAAAAATGAAATAAAACAGGTAGCTATAAAATTGATTATAAATCTTAGAAATGAAAAGTACAGTCATTGAAATAAAAAAGTAATTACTTCAGTTATCTATTGCAGTGTAAGAAGCTATACCAAAACTTAGCTTAAAACAATCTTCTCATCATTCCGGGTCAGGACCTTGGCAGTGCCCAATTAGGATCTTTGGCAGGGTTGACTTACTTGGCTGTAGACAGTTGAGCTAAAAGGTTCCAAAAGCCTTCATTCATAACCCTGAGGTTTTACCATGTGACTCTTTTCTTGTCACTTGATGTCTTATCAGTCATTCATCTAGCCTAATGAGTTTCAACGGGGATGCTGCAAGAATTTTAAAACATGCATACCTGACTATTTTGTCAGGGACACTGACCTCTTTTCCCTTAGGTTATCAGAAAAAAAGAAAAACCAAGACAACAGCCAACACAATAGCTGTCTGGTGTGAATGAACCAAAATTATACCTATTTTTTTTTTGTTATATTGGCAAAAATATATTTTTTGGTGTGATGCAGAATTTAGTAATTAGTTTATGTGTGCCACAAAGTGAAAAAGGTTGAAAATCGTGGGTCTACCCCATGTTTCTTTAAGCATGGTGGCTGGTTTCCTTGAGAGTGTATGAAAGCAGAGATGCCAGGTCTCTTAAAGGGCTGGGATTGGCACAGTGTCACTTCTGCTACAGTCTCGTGGTCAAACAAGTCATAGGACTGACCCAGCTTCATTGGGAAGAAACAGACTCAATCTCTTCCTGACAGGAATAGCCAAGTCTCACTGCAAAAAGCATGTTGGATAGGAGATTCTTTAGAAACACAATTTATCACAATAGCACTGAACAAACTTCATAAAGAAAAAAAATACAGCATTAGAAGGTGGTATTGAGGAATTTACTCAGAAAGTAGCATGAAAAAAATATAAACAAAATGAAAGGGCAGTTAAGAGAATGAATTGATAGGAAGTAGAGTTGAGTGAAGGAAAATGAAGCAATGTTTGGTGAGATACCTGCTAAGAATTTTCTAAAACTAAAGAAATAATTACTCCTAAGGTCAAAGTTACTCTGGATAACAAGCAAAATACATGATAATATAGTTATACCTAGAAATACTATAATCAAACTGCAAAATATTTAAGAAAAAAATTATTTAAATCTATTGGAGAGTTATTCTGCAATGGGATGAGAAGTTAGACTGGTAAATTTGAGAATGCAATGGAATATTTAAAGGTATCTACAGAAAACACTTTTCAGCCTAGAATTTATATCTAAGCTATAAATCAAGAATGCTGGAAAATATAAGACATTTTTGGTCTTTGTAAGTATTAAAGAGTTTTTAGTCCACAGATTCCAGTTAATTTTGTAAGACAAAAAATGAACTGAAAGTGGGGAATACAAGAAACAATGAAAAGTACAAAAATTGATATGTTGGTAAATTTAATCATGTATTAGGACTCTCTGTGCTTCCTGGACTTGTATGTCTGTTTCTTTCACCAAGTTAGGGAAGTTTTCTGTCATTATTTTTTCATATGGGTTTTCAATTTCTTGCTCTAATTATGTACATTAAAAAATAGCCCAGCTGGTATGGCTCAGTGGTTGAGTGTCAACCCATGCACCAGGAGGTCATCAATTCAATTTCCAGTCAGGGCACATGCCAGTTGTGAGCCAAATCCCCAGTGGGGG